AGGCAGCTCCTGGAGATCAGCTTCCAGGTCCAATCCTTAAAACACAAAGGTAATCGATTTAAGCAGTAATATGAAATATAAGTCAATAAAAGCCTGTAGGCTAGGGTGATAAAAAAAAAAATGGGATGGAAAAATGCATTTCACACCCTTGTTTTCCTGTAGTACGATTTGCTTTATTTCAAGTGACATTCTAAAGATAAAGCCCACTGCACTTCATTTCCTTTATACTACCATAGTGTTCTTACAATAGAGAGCATCAACTAGACCTGCAAAATCAAGTCTACACCACGCAGAAGATTTTATTGAAAAGTACAATGTAGTTTTCTGAAGGATAAGCTGAGTGTATTCGTGGGCCTCTAACAAATCCTATGCTAGTTGACACCCATTCCCTATTAGGGCAACCTGCAGGGTATTTTGTCAAATTTTACTAGTTAGATTTAAGTGCAAAGTCCCTCTATGTATAACTTAGGATAAAGGAGTCACGTATAGAGCAAAGTTCCAAAGGTAACAGCAAAACATTAGTGATTAACAGTCCAACATCTGTCTTGCAGGGAGACAGTAGGGACAAGTAGGGTGGAAAGAAATTAATGGACTTTGTCGTCAGTCGTATTGTGGAAACCTCTTAACAGCGAATTCCGAACACACTCCATGGCCTGAACGGTGTCAATAATTCACTACAAGTACTTGATGAAAATGCTAAATTTGGAAGACATTCCTTTCTTGTTTCATGATCGTTTTAAGATACTTTAGATTTTCCTAATCGTAAAAGTACTTAAACACCTTTTAAAGCCGCTTAAAAATCATATTAACATAGTGACCCTGATGCCAGTTTCCCGAATTATGCAGCTCTTCCGAAACGTACCGTATCAAATGATTAATCAGACAGTGGCTATCATTCACTGAGCTCTTTTCTGGAGTCTCTCTCCTGCTCCACTGAACTGGACTGACTCCTGTGCCAGTAATAAGCTACTCTACAGTACAGACACATTTGACTACTAAGCATTCCATACAAAACCATTCACTTGTTTGTACAACAACACAAATGGTAGGAAGAACACAAACCTCTTTAAAAACTCTTACTTTAAGTAATCTCTACACTCAGTATGGGCCTTGAACTCTCGACCCCGACGCCAAGAGTCACATGCTCTACCGACTGAGCCAGCCAGCTTCCCCAAGAATGCAAACTTTGTACTGAGATGTGAAGTGTATCTCCATGTGTCAAGCAGTCTTTGGCAAGCCACAATCCCCGAGCCTTAGTTTTCTCATTTATAAAATGGGGCTCCCATCCCTATGCAAATCGGCTTTATTCCTCATGTTATAGGATATGCTGACTCGGCACTCTGCCTATGCTGTTGAATAGTGCTTACGCTTTTGATATTTTGAAATGAGTGAAAAGGCCACACAAAAATGTTCTAAGAACAAATTAAACTAGTGAAACGATGTATAGTTTTGTAGTTAAACATTCTCCTCTTATTTAGAAAAGACAGCATTTTCAAGCACACCGATTCATTCTCGAGGAAAAAGGGGAAATTCATTACGGTGAAGGACTACATGAAGCTGCACACCATACACTCTTCACATTTTCAACCCATTTTTGGGAAATGACTGAGAGTCTCTTCCAATGTTTTCTTTCCTCCTGTAACGGTTTGTCCTAACTATGCATGATGCACACATACACCCCCTGCCCCCATAGTCATTCTCCTTCCCTTTCCCTTCACCTTGAGCCACAGGTCCTCCTTCAACTTCCTTCCCTTGATCAGGTAGAGTATCTTGACTCTCAGGGGGTGCGTCCTTTTGTTTCAGTTGCTCACCACTGGGCTGCTGCTCCTAAGGGTGTGTGTGTGTGTAGGCAAATAAAAAGTTGTGTTGTTAATACATGCTAACAGTATAAATATACATTATACATTTTGAGATCAAATAATGAATAAGCATAAAGACACTCCCACATCAGGATTCTATGCGCTTATTCTTAAAAGTGACTCTCCCCACAGAGCAGCTACTCCAACAAAAGGTAGCCACGAGCACTTTGGAGTCTACTGTAAACTATGCTGGGATGGATATGCACAATCGGTCGTTAGTAAGCATGACAAAGAAGCCATAGGGTGTATTTCCACAGGCAACAGAAAGTTGGAATGGAAGTTGATATGGAATCCTTCTGGTTCAATGTTTCCCTCCCTTTATCAGCAGAGAAGCTTTTATCACTGTATCTCTATGTCTGCAGCTCAACAAAATTTTCAGAGCAATAAATGGACGGTCATCGAAAACATCCAATATGGAAGTACTCACACCCACGTGCTGGTTAGACCCTGGATCATCTTTTCTTTGTTTGGATCTGGATCTGGATCTGGATCTGACTCGGCCACTCATAGTTCACCCTGAAAGTAGAATATTGGTATTTGGAAAATGTACTCTAATGGAGAGGTATCCCACGTCCAAGGCCAAAGGTTTGACTTTTTTTTTTACTTTGAAAACACTTTGAGAGCCAACCTAGCATCAGTAGAGTGTACAAGCTGTGGTCACACCAAATACACGGGCTGCAAGATCATTTACATCAGCCAGGCTGGCCGTGAAATCGCCTTACGGACAGGCTAAAACACGAGGCTTAGTCTCACAGCTGGATTCCCCACTACAAAGGCATTTGAGAAAACAGTGCTGGACATTTAAACCTGAGTCACTACTGCTTTGGGTCACATTCCCATTCACTAGGCTCATTTTACCGCCTTCAATAACGTTTGGCTGGAACGCAGAGAAAGAAACTATCCTCTGCATACGGCCTCCGGCTGTGTTGCCACTCCAAGGGCTCAGGCGTGTAGTCGCGAACCAGACCCACGGGCCGGCTCCTGCCTCGACACTGCACAGTGCACGACAAATCTCGCGGACCCAGTCACAAGCCCCCAGCGTTCCCCGCTACCTGGCCTTTTCTGTACCGCCTGGTCTGCTCCCTGCCCCGGGTCCCACAGAGGATCCTGGCCTCCGCGCTCTGCTGGCAGTTGCAGGTGCTCCAGGACTCCGATATCTCAACTAGCCGCCCTGGCCCCGCCAGGCCTCGGCCCGTCTTCACCTCCCCTCCTCGACCCACCATCCTCACTTGCCCGGGCCCCACCACGAGGACGAGCGCCATGGCGGCCGCGACGCCTGCGAGGAGAAGGGCGCTAGCTCCTCGGCACTTCCACCTAGGACGCCACAGATCTACTGTCCCCACCTGCCCGCGGCCCACTGCCTCCCTCCCCATCCTCGCTCACACTTAAACTCCTGGAAGGACTGATCTGGGGACCTACCAGTTGAATTCAGCTAGCGAGAAAGCTCACAGCAGAGAGAACACGCCGCCTGGATGAAGCTCAGCTCGGCTCCCAGAACACGCGCAGCAATGCGCATGCCCAGCAGCAGTGGCTCACAGCAAGGAGCATGCGCACTGTTGGCTCACAGCAATGAGCATGCGCACAGCGTTGGGTGCGTGCAGGGTGGGTTGAGGTTTTCCCGCCTGTGCTGCTGCAGAGACTCGCAGCCACGCGGATCAGCCGAGGAGAAGAAGAAAAGGGGCTTGAACAGTCTGTTGTTCACCCCACCCAATCTCTCCTACGGAGCCAGGTACTTTGGACAGAGAGCCGCAAATCACCATTAGGGCCCAATGTTTATCAGAAAGATAACTGTGACAAAAATAGATATTAATTATTTTTTAATACCTATTTTATACGTTTTGATTATTCATTTCCTTTTATGCTCTGGATTTTCTGTCATACTTGAATGTATTTGCTCCCCTTGAAAACACATTAATAACTTTTTGCTTTTTTGCTGTGTAACTGCACATTTAAATCACTGGATTGGTTACTAATTTTTTGTATGTATCTGCAATCATTCAGTCAGTGTTTGGTTCAGAAAGTTCTGTAGATATTGGCCTTGAGATTTAAGCCCAGTCCACTGTCACGTTGGTGTTCAGTAATGGTGACTATGCTGCTCATATATTATACTTCCCAAATATCATGCAAACAACTTGATAAGCAAAGTTGACTTTATTGAACAACGCTGTCGGGGAAAGTACTACCTGGACAGAGCCTTAGCAGATTATTGGAGGTGGCAGAGCAGGAGAGATATTTATTCAGATTTCGAAGTTGGTGTAGAACAGGTCATTCAATGTTGGGGGAGGGTGTGATTAAGATTGGGTGGAAAGAGTGTTAGAACGGTTTAGGTTTGGTGGATACAGCAAGGCAAGAACATTAAGACAAAGTTTCAAAGCTTCTTGTGGTTGAAAAATGTCATTTTGCACTTTTTATTGAAGCGTTGATGGATCTTCAGGTAGTTCCTGCAATGGACAATAAAGTTATTTTTCAACTTTTATCTTCCTAGGCAACAGATTCTTGTGATAGCAAAGTTATGTTGATGAAGCCCACAGAATCATAAACTCTCATTGATGTAGCTAGTAAGTTGTGTGTGTGATTTCTCTTATTATTTGCTTCTACGTAACTTATCAGTTGAGTGTTTCAGGTAGTATATGGAAATGAAGGAAAGGAAGAATACCCTGATGAACAAGTAGTTTTTGTAATTAAATTAGAATATATTTTTAAGCTGACTCATATATTCCATTCAACTAGGCCTAACTTAAAGAAATACCTTGAATTCTGAAAGGGAGGGGTGTGTGTGTGTGTATGTTTGTAAAAACAGTTTGGAAAGGAGTTGTGGTTCTTCTTTTTTAAATGAGAGCAGTCACAATTCCCAGTCTTTCATTTAGTCTATCATATATATATATATATATACACATATATTTTTTTTTTCCCCCCAGCAAAGACACTATCATTACTACCAAATTTTACTCTCTTACCATCCTAATCACTATTCCTAGTGCAGTGCACTCAGGAAGTAACAAAAAATACTGGGAGATAGTTACTTTTTCTCCTCACACCTAACTAGCATATGGCAAAATTCATTTCATCCAATGCCTGGATGGCTTATGGGTCATGAGAACCTGGGCTTTGTTGATTTCTAAATTGTTCCCTTCCAACTTCAAGGGGCAGACTTCAACCTGATGCCAATATTTAACTTCCTGTATTGCTCCTGTGGACTTTAAGCCCTGGCCAACTCAATGAATTTATATGTCCATATTTGAATTTGGATGAAGGGAAGTTGTGAGGTAGCTCTTGTGATACACTGGATGCCACAGAAAGTATAGAAGACATTGTGGAGATAAGAAAAATTGCCTGATAGGTGACCCAGGAACTTTCTCTGGCTGCTAAGCAAGGAGCTACCGCCGAGACTGACAGCAGGCCCTCTTTCTGCAGGACAGCTGCAACTTCCCACAAGAGCAGAGGCTTCCTTTCATCCAACCAAGAGAATCTAAGAACGAGCTTAAAATCCTACAGGACTGAGGGGCAGTGTTCACAGACTCTGGGCAGTGGCATTTCCCAGAGGCCCCTAAAGTGCTGACATCTAAGTTTAACCTGCTTGGTGCTTAAGGTCAAATTTATTCCCCACTATGTGCAATGCAAACCACACACTTGCCTCATAAAATGGGAGCACAGTAGGGAAATGGGGTCCCTTAGCTACAACCCAACAATGTATGGCATTCAGCTGCACCCCAGCCCAAGCCCAGCTCTCCGCAGGATGCCAGCAGTATAAGAAGCCATATGCACCTGCTGACTCTTTTGCTTGTGAGTGCCCATCTTTACCAACTGACACCTACATTTGCGAAACACTGTTATCTGAATTGTTTTAAAGTTTTATTTTAATCCCAGTTAGTTAACATACAGTGTTTTATTAGTTTCAGGTGTACAATATAGTGATTCAACCATTTCATACATCACCCGCTGTTCATCATGACAAGTGCACTCCTTAAACCCCGTATCTGAATTCTAATGTGAAACTTTGCAGATGGAGCTTATATTCCATCAGCAACTATACATTTGTGTAGCCCTGTGGCTCATATCAAAGATGTCCTTTGTGTCTGACAACACTGAATTCCATGAGGACAAAATGGAGGTTCTCACATGTATTTGCATGTACTTCTATAACAGCATTTATTGGTCATTGGGAATTTTCCAGTAAACGGGCTAGTGTTTTCCACACTGCGATTTGTAATCGATAGTGGGTCATGAGATTAATGTTGTCAGTCATAAGCAGCATTTAAAGAAATGAGGTAAAATAAAACAGAAAATACCAGAGTGGCCTGCCTATATATATATATATATGCAATATACCCGTAGACCACACATACACACACACATTTCTGTGCCTACTGAATTATATCGATATGCATATTGTGCATGCACTGGGATACAAAAGTTTGAAGGTCTCTACTTTAGAGGATATCAGACAAATGCCTAGAGGCCATTTCTTCAGACATACATGAGGATGATGGGTTAAGACCTGCTCAGAATAAATTAACTGTTTTCAGTAGCTTTCTATATAATGCTGGAAATTGCCAGTGTAGTTTAAGTTGGTTCAGATTTACTATAGGCATTTGACCCTAAGCAAACTCTCTTGTGGAATCCTGAGGTTATGAGAAGAAAGAGTGATGAGTGGTGAGGGTTTCTGATTCATTATCTCTGTCATTGCCCAATTTTCTATTGTCTCTTTCTACAGCAGTGGGGTGTGTTCATGGGTGTGCTTCTGCTCTTGTCTGATGCTGCCTTGATCCATTCTCTTTTTTCCCTGCCTCTTTGTTACACTATAATGTACTTCATTGGACATCCAGTGATGGTGTCATTTATGTTGTTCAGTGTTGAGTAGAGACACCAGCAAAAGCACCCACCCAAGACTGTCCCTGGGGTGTGACTCCAGATGGGGTTCTGATTGACTGAATTCCCTTGGTGCCTACCCATTTTCTGATTCTGGTTCTCTATATTTTCTGCGGATTCTGTGAGCTACTCAATTTTTCTTCCAATAAATTTGTTTTCTGCAAAGCTAACGTTGGCTGCAACCAAGGACCTGAACTGCTTCAGACTTTAGTACAATGCGTGAGAAGTAGGTAACTGACATTTATAGACATGGTGTGGGTGCAGTGGGGAGTCTGGGCTTGATTCTGTGGCCTAACTGGGATTGAAAGCAGTAAAAATCCAGTCAGTATTTAGGGATGAGAATTTTTCAGCCAGTGAGAGCAGTGTTTAAATAGTTTATTAAATAATCTCCTAATATTCCAAACTCATGACAGTCCTATTACCTCTGGGGAGAGAAGGGATGAGGTAAGTAATTCACCTGGGGATGTTGTTAATAGGGACTTTTAAACTAAAAGAGCCATTTCTTATAAAAAGACTCTAAGCAAAAATGACAAGAAGTTAGCTAATTGTAGAAGAAAAGTCAGTAGTCCATGGAATGAGGTTCCTTTTGAAGGCAGGGAGAGGGGGACTAAGTCGTTGCTGCTGGATAAGAGTAGTAGGAAGGGCCTGAAAATTTGAAGGACTGAAGTATAGACAGTTTAATGAAAAATAACCATTGTAAATCTTTAAGCGATCAGCTCAGGATCCACCTGGAAACCTCCATAATCATGCTCCAAGTTTCTCTTTCAGCTGCAGGGCTGAGGTAATTGAACAAGTTGCAAGTTTGGCACTTGTAGGTTCCCAACTTACAATGGTGAGTTGAATTCACAACCTCACTAGCTTTTTTATGTTGATGTTAAGGTAAGCAGTGAATTCACATCTGGCTGTAGAGACCATTTTTATTGCAAATCTTACATTTGCTAATAATCTTATCATTTTCCTTTCCATCACATAAGTTTAAAGCTTCTCATGATTGGGTTTGTTTCTTGTGTTGATAACCAATTTAATTCCAAAACTTGGTTTTTGAAACTTCCTAACTCTTATTTTTAAAATATTTTATTTATTTGACAGAGAGAGAGAGAGACAGCCAGAGAGGGAACACAAGCAGGGGGAGTGGGAGAAGCAGGCTTCCCACAGAGCAGGGCCCGACACGGGGCTTGATCCCAGGACCCCGGGATCATGACCTGAGCCGAGGTCAGACGCTTAACAACTGAGCCACCCAGGTGCCCCAAAAACTTCCTAACTCTTACTAGGAGAAATCTCATTATGATAAGAAAGTAGCTGCAGAAGGACAGAAACTAGTTTAATTCATAAACTGTCCATGTACTGGCAATTTTAAACAAAGGATTCTGAAAGACACCTGGACTTCAGAGATAGTAGGCAGAACCTGAGAAATTCACTTTTTACTCAAAAAAGATCTGTAATTCTGATTGGCTGCCCTTCATAATAATTTTGTGCTCTGTTAGTTCCACTTAAGTCAATACCTCTCTTTTCTTTAAGGTGCACACTTGGGAGTTTTCTCCTTCAACCATAAGAGGAACATTGACTCTCGTGCTTACCTGCTTGGAGGTAAACAAAACAAAACAAAACAAAACAAAAACAGCCCATGAGTTTGTTGAAGTGCTTATTTAAACCACGTTTGT